CGACAACCCGCAACCGTGGGAACGGCGGCGCATCAACCCAACGACGCAGCCCACCTCCATGGCCTGCAGATCGCTGGCGCGCTTGCGACCGGATAACGACCCACCTCCATGAACGGCACATCAGCCTTCAACTTCCCCTCTTCCCTTCCACCACCACCGCGCCCGGCAATGGTAATCGGTGGTTTGACCCCCCCATCGATAATCGTCCTCTCGCCGGGGAGTTCGAACCGGTCTACGCTTACCCAAGCCGGTAGGAGAAAGGGCGCCAAGGGCAGAGGCAGAGGAGGTTCGGGCACCACTTCCTCCAGGCGGGCTACCAGGGCATGACTTCCGCGGTCCTGGTAACCCGAGGTGCGCTCATCGATCCGTCCGACTGCGCGTCAACCCATTCTACGTTCTTATCCTCCTCTCTCTCTCTCTCTCTCTCTCTCTCTCTCTCTCTCTCTCTCTCTCTCTCTCTCTCTCTCTCTCTCTCTCTCTCTCTCTTGCCCCCCCGTTCTTCCCTCCCTTTCCCCCCCAAAGGATTCACTATCCCCCCGGTGCGACCCATGTTCTGTGATTGTGGTCTTCTCCACGCAGGGTCCGGAGAGCAGTCTCAACGCCCCTGGGCAGATGGTGACGCTTCCATCCGGCTGGAGAGCATCGCAGAAGCAGAAATCGGATTGCGACGGCTTCCTGCACCTCCGATACACCAGCAGAGTAATGGAACCCTTGTCCATAAGGAAGCTTCTGAACGACGTCCTCACCAGACAGATAGGAGACGAAGCGATAACTTGGCTAGAACGCACCAGAATAAGCTGGACCTACAACAACAACAGCGCTTCCAGATTGTGCAGGCCGGCAGAAACATTCTGTGACTTCTGCATGGAGCAATAGCTGGAGGCGTACGAACCGGATGAGTGCCCCTGCAGGACACCTAGCTACGCAGACATGCGAAGCTCTGCTTCAATCGGACTGCTCCAGAATGAGGGTTGTGCGCATGTTATCACCTTGGACTCATCTATTACAGACAACCCACTCCTCCAAGGCATCATCAATTGTGGACTTAACCACATTTCGAGCATGGCCCTAGACGTGGAGCAAGCAGTGAATGAGGTGGACGGGTTCCTGGAGAGGCTCTTCGCCATGGTAATGGAGCTGCGCGAGCTCACGACTTCGATACAGTCGTTCCTACGCAAGATTATTCTCAAGAAGGCTAGGAACAAAATGACAAAGTACCGCGAAGAACATAGGCATGTCATTGCGGAACCGTTCGAGCACCCTGCGGTCAAGAGCGAGTTACGATTCCTCACCAGTCGCTTCCTCATTTGCCCTACGGACAAGGCGCCGAACACGCCCGCATTCGTATGCAAGAACTTCGTGCGGAAGCTGGCCATTCAGAGATTATCAGGTCCGGAATTCACCAGCATCCCCTCCCCCCTGCAGGCAGTCATTGCGCGAATACAGGGCGAGCTCTCAGCATTTCGGGCACTTCCAGCTACAACGACGGCACTCCCGTACCTGATGACCGTGTACAAGGCACACAAGGGTACCTTCCACTGGATCACGAACACAGCCAACACAGTGATATCCCCTGCTGCTGATCTCTGTGCATGCCTGCTACGATTCCTCCTCCCCTTGGCACAGGCTTTTTGCCAGGAGAGGAGCCAGGAGGTGGAGGAGCAGTATGGCGTGAAACCGAACCTTTGGTGGGCCATAGCTTTAGTCGGGGAGTTTTGCGCCAATCTCCCGGAGAAGATATTCTCTGTCTTCACGGCTGACATCATGCGGTGTTTCGAGATGATCCCCACGGACTGTTCGGAGGACAGTCTCCCGGCGGCGGTCAGTTTCTATGTGCAATGTGCGATGCGCGTGCAAAGGGAGAGGAGCTTCAGTCACGCCATCAAGGTCATCATCGGAGCAGACGACAGGCTTCGACCGACATGGGTGGACGTCGGGCAGGCGGAGGGCATGGATTCAATGATTTTTAGCGAACAGGATATCTGCTGGCTCACGGAGTGGTGCATAGGGAACAACATTTTACGCATGGAAGATCACGTATGGAGGCAGACCAGAGGCATCCCCATGGGGCTCGCCTGCTCCCCCATATGGTGTGATATCTACTTTTTCAAGCATGAATATCACGCCATGATGAGGTTGATCGACACTGGCAATGCACATCTGGTTCCATGCTTCGCGAACACGGTCAGGTACATCGACAATCTGAGCTCTATCAACAACACGATCATCAGAGACTTCATGAGAAGCAGACAGGGGAGAGAGAACGATGACCCTTGTTGGATCTATCCTGACGAGTTCATAAAGATTGAGGAGAACACGGAGGTTGTTGTGGACGGATGGGGATGTAAGGCCAACTTCCTCGGTATGACCATCTCGATCACTTCTCCGATTACAGGATCCTACACTACTTCCAGGCATGACAAGAGACTTGGTCTGGGTTTTGTTCCATGCAGATTTATGAGATACAGATCCAACAGGAGCGCCAAGCAGTCACTCCAGATCATCACGGCGCAGGTCGCACTGATCATGCTTCTGTGCTCCGAACCTAAGGACGCTGCCGAAGAAATCAACAAGGTTGTCACGATCATGAGGGGGAACGGTTTCGCTATAAAGGTGTGTTGGAGGGTGGTGAAGAAAACTCTGCGCAACGCACACCGTTATCAGCCGGGAAGGGTCTCGGTGCGTGCGGTCAGGGAAGCCTTGCTTGACCTGTATGGTGTTACTGACTCGTGGACTCATTGTGCGCATGTCCCTTAGTGTCTGTTTGTCTGTATGTGTATGGTGTCCGGGGGGCGACTGGGCCGAGCGGGCCGGTTGCTCTCCGGACAACCATCCCCTCGGACCCATTCGTCCCCCGAGGGAATGGGGTGGGACACACACACACACACACACACACACACACACACACACACACACACACGCACGCGCACATGTTTACATGAGATTGCAGATGCGATGATTGGGGGAGTGCGGGATGGCGCATCTGCACAGCCTGGGCGCAGGGGCTAGGACTGAAACGTAGGCTCACAGCATTGGCATGTAGGAAGAAAATGCGATTGAGCAGGGATCTTGGACAATGCAAACATTTCAGGCAAGCTGCGCTAATGCGAGGTGCTGCGCGGTACGGAGGTGCGCTATGCTGGTTCAGGCAGGCTAGCGCTAGGCGGTAGGGCGCTGCCTGCACACAGGGGCACTGACGGCCATAGCCGGGCTGCCTGAGGGCGCAGTGAAGATGAGGGGCGAAGGTGGTTCTTCGGAGGTGAAGGGCGATGTGTGGTATGACCAGGGAGAGTGAGGGTGACAAGAGAGACGTACCTGGTGGAGAGGAGGTCGACATTGGTGTTGACGTCGTCACTCGTTGGTCGTCAAGTTGTGTGGTTGCTTTCATGCTGCAGTTGTAGATATAGGCTGTAGAGTAGATACGGCGCCAGGCGCCATTCAAGAGAGAGAGATACACTGGTTTATGTTGTTGGTATTGCCCGATTAGGCTTAGACATTGACTCACGATTCTGCTGTTTCGTTCTCAATGAATGATTACTCGGGTCTATTGTGCTATTTGTTTTGGCTATGGCTACTTGGGCTTCAGTATGATTCTGCAATTGGGTTTTTGTGCTTCGTCCATACCCATGTTCTTTGCAATTATTATTATTATTGTTATTTAATATTGCCATTAAAATCACCCTCATTCATACCTTTCATGTAGTAGTGCAGTAAGTTAGCGACATTCGCCCGCACAATACTCAGATTTATGACAACCAGATAAGGGTTCAATTACAACTGGCTATGGCGACTCAGCGCCCAACAACACTCTGTGCACACGCGCAGGGTCACCCTGGATATCCCGCACGTGTCTCTCTAAACACTTACACAACACACATACACTGCGCCTTACTACTATGGCGGCAGGGTCCGCCCGACCTGCCCTTCTTTTATCAGCACGGGGTATGCGCAATCCCGTGTTGTACTTGCTTGACTTAACCAGGACAGATAAGGGCCAATGTAGACGAGGACAATAGATAGGCAAACAAGGCAACAACAGCCGGGCGCACAGTCCGACGGATGGTCAGACTCAGTTAAGACACACAGTCCGACAGATGGTCAGACACAGTCAAAATACGCAGTTTGACAGGTAGTCGGATACAGGTGGACACACAGTCGGATACGCAGACAGGCAGCAGGCAACCATAGCAAAGTTTACCTGCCTATAACGAAGTAGGAACACAAGGACGACGTGCTGGATGTAAGTGGATCTAGGAGTTGGGGGGGAAAAGGGTGTGAATAATGCAGGAAACGCACCGGTTGCTGGAAGCAGGAGAAGCTGGCTGTTGTATGTCCATACCTTGGAAAGACTGTTGTGGTCATCATTCGGCTTCAGTAGTATAAGCTAGATAGGACCTGACATTCATAATATGGGCGTCAGCGCCAGATAGGATATCGATCATGATCCTTCGGTAATGATGATGAGACTATACCAACCTATCAATATGAGTTCGCTGAGCTCGTATCTAGTGGGACTCGTCATGCAACTCTGCATTTGGTTCGAGATCATGAGTACCGGGGCTCGTGTATGTGTCGCTGCTTGATTGCTGAAATTCGGCATTGCGTAATTTTCATTATTATTGTTATTATTATTATTATTACTATTATTATTGTTATTATTATTTATTATTACTATTATTATTATTATTATGAGGAAGCAAATCAGACTTGCTTTCATCCACGCTGATACCCAGCGCCCACAACTCATGATCCACGTACATGGGGGTCACCACTAGATACCCCACACCTGACACGTAGTGTGCAGTCACCTACGCGGCCGCGCACAGACTGTGAACCATATTGACACGACAAAGGGAGACGCACATCGAAACGAACCTGTTGAGTGAAGTGTTGTTGCTTGTATATAGCTACTCAGACACCTGTGTGATCTCACAACCCGGTTTGGATGTCATTCACTTTCATTAATTATTATTATTATTACTACTATTATTATTATTACTGTTGTTATTATAAGTGTGCTACTATTAATATTATTATTATTATTATTATTATTATTATTATTATTATTATTATTTTATTATTATTATTATTATTATTATTATTATTATTATTATTATTATTTATTTATATCATTTGAGGTCACATGCTAGATTGAGAGTCAGAGTTGGGAAAGGTGCGACGCAATGGAGAGGGGAGGGTCGTCAACAAGTACGACGACTCCTACGTCCTTCATCCTCCTCCGCTTTCCTATGTTTAATCCCCACACATACACACAACCACCTTCAAGCAACATAAGTGAAAATAATATTTTCAAATGGCTTGCTGAGATCAAGACTCAAGCACAAAGGACTCCTATTCCATACTTCATCCATGCAACAGGGTAATTTCGGGAGCTCTGCCGGAGTTCAGGCGGAACTCTGGAGGTAGGGAACAACGAGGTACGATATTTCGACCCAGTTGTTGTTTCAGGACATATAGGTCATTATCCACAACAGTGCTCATAAGGGCTAGGGATTCCGGATCAGCATTTCTTCAAGGGCTAGAGGAAGGACTGAAGTCTTGGATTGTAAAAGTGCTGATAAAGAAGGGTTGACTGGGTGAAAAGGGTCTGGCCGAATGGAAACTAATTGCTTTTGATACAACGATCTTGGTATGTGGGTGATTTTTGGGGATGTGGATGCAAAAGGGATCGATTTCTCGTATTCTCCTCTCTATACGTTGCCTAATGATGATGGGTATTTGTTTGTTCAGCTTGTTGTGATCGAATGCAACGATGATGATCCATGTCATTTATTTCTTATCGTACGCCTAATCCAAGCGTAAGTCCCTGAAAACTAACATGGTTCGAGGCTCAAATGGCGTCAAAGGCAATGATTGGTCCGTCGGTAAGACTCGTGTGGTGGTAAGAGTGGCAGGGTCGCATGAAGCCTGCCTTATCAGTGACTGGTCGCATGATAAGAGTAGCAGGGTCTATGGAACCTGCCTTATCAACGACTAGCCAGTGATAAGAGTAGCGAGGCTCCATGAAAAAGGTCCTGCCTTACTACCGATAAGCCTTACACTCGGTCAGTGATAAGAGTAGCAGGTTTCCTTGAATACCCGTCTTATTGAGGACTAGCCAGTGATAAGAGTAGCAGGGAAAGCCTGCCTTATCAGTGGCTAGTCTAATGTAAGAGTAGCGAGGTTTCAAGGACACCTGCCTTATCATTGACGGATCTAACATTTCTTTTCAGTGGTAAGAGTAGCAAGTTTCCTTGAATACCCGCCTTATTGTGGACTAGCCAGTGATAAGAGTAGTAGGGAAAACCTGCCTTATCAGTGACTATTCTGATGAAAGAGTAGCGAGGTTTCAAAGACACCTGTCTTATGATTGACCGATCTAACATTTCTTTTCAGTGGTAAGAGTAGCAGGTATCCTTGGACACCCGCCTTATTGAGGGCTAGCCAGTGATAAGAGTAGCAGGAAAAACCTGCCTTATCAGTGACTAGTCTGATATAAGAGTAGCGAGGTTTCAAGGACACCTGCCTTATCATTGACGGATCTAACATTTCTTTTCAGTGGTAAGAGTAGCAGGTTTTCTTGGACACCCGCCTTATTGATGACTAGCCAGTGATAAGAGTAGCAGGGAAAACTTGCCTTATCAATTGACTAGCCGGATATAAGAGTAGCAGGGTTTCAAGGACACTTGCCTTATCATTGACCAACCTAACATTCTTAAGAGTAGCAAGCTTCCTTGGAAATCTGCCTTATTGATGTCTAGCCAATAATAAGAGTAGCAGGGAAAACCTGCCTTATCAGTGACTAGCTTGATATAAGAGCAGCAGGGTTTCAAGGACACTTGCCTTATCATTGATCAACCTCACATTCTTTTCAATGGTAAGAGTAGCAAGCTTCCTTGGAAGTCTGCCTTATTGATGTCTAGCCAATGATAAGAGTAGCAGGGAAAGTCTGCCTAATCAGTGACTAGCCTGATATAAAAGTAGCATGATCTCAAGGACACTTGCCTTATCATTGGTCAACCTCACATTCATTCAGTGGTAAGAGTAGCAGGGAAAACCTGCCTTATCAGTGACTAGTCTGATATAAGAGTAGCGATATTTCAAGGACACCTGCCTTATCAGTGGACATCCTAGCACTTAGTTAGTGATAAGAGTAGCAAGGATCCTTGGATACCCGCCTTATTGAGGTCTAGCCAATAATAAGAGTAGCAGGAAAAACTTGCCTTATCAGTGACTAGTCTGATATAAGAGTAGCGAGGTTTCAAGGACACCTGCCTTATCAGTGACCAGTAATGGGTTAAGCCTGCCGTCGAGTGTGCTTCAGCACGCAAGGGGCCAGGACCCACAAGGTTTGCCTTTTGTCAAAGAGGCTCCAATAACAAGTGGATAAATCCTGAATGGTCTGCCATACCACTGCTAACTTTCTCCACAATTTGCATCGTTCAATCCTAACTAACTATCTCTGATTCTACCGGGAGGGTAAAGTGAGTTCTTGACTCAAAGAGGCTTATCACCCTTTGAAATTTTGATTCGAGCTCTATCACAGGATCCCTTTCTTAATTGAATGAATGGTATTGCTTGTGGTGGCTAGGGATACGGGGCTCATAAAAAGAAGGAAACTAAGTAGAACCGAAGAGACGAAGGGACGAAGAATGAGCTTGTTCGTCGCCTGGACCAACTGGGCAGCGGACTGACAGTTAGATCAAGGTAGAAATTTGGCAGTAGGTCGAGGACATGCACAAAAATTTGGGTCACAAGTCTAGAAAGGATCTTCTAGGACCCAAAGAGAGGACGCTGAGATTCTTTCGGACCATGTTGTGTCTACAGGTTCATCACTCTTGGAGAGGACTACAAAAGAAATCCGTAAGAAACTGCATATTCTGTTATCTCTGGATAACAGCGGTATAACTCCGACTCAACTTCCACATGGCTTGGTACCCACACCTAAGACAAGACCTAAGAAGGGAACAGATAAATCTTCCTTCTGTATCTACACCTAAATTTGTCCAAGTCACAATCAGAGGTCTTTGAAGATGTGAAGGGCTGGGGTAAAAGGAGTCAGGTTTAGGAAGGAATGTTGTTTTTCAGGTTTTGGGGCGTGAGTGGCTTGCTATGAATGGGTTAAAGGTTGACGTTTGTAGCACATTCTGTGTCTGCATCTGTATGCATGTATGTGATCTTCTTGCATCTGCACAGGTGTTGGACATTTGTGCTGTCTTTTGAACTTTGAGATCATATTGGAATATTCAGACAAGGGCACCGCAATCGTGAAAGTGAGGTTCACCGCTCATTCAGCTCCCCTGATTTACTTTTATATATATATATATATATATATATATGTATATATATATATGTATAACTGTGACTAAGATCGTAAGCTGGACTGAGCTTGGGGAACTATTGTCTAGAAGTCCATTTTGAGATCTTGAGAGAAAGAGAGATTACTAAAGGGCTTGACTCTATCTTTCTCATGTAGTAAACAAGTAAAACATAGAGTCACTGTCATAATTCGCTAAGCGTGGAAGAATCCCGGAGAAAGTCGACCTGATTAGATAGTCGGTCTGAGGAGTTAGCGCATCGGGGCACGACATACGGGTCAGTTGTAAGGCGTTCTACCGCGCGTATGCCTATGCTACGGCGATCGAAAAAACGCCCTCGACTGGCTTACCTCTGCGATTGCATACAAAAGCCTTCGCACGTGGGTCAGTAGCTCAGCAGGGATACGCCCACCTAAGGGATGGTAACAGCTCCCGCAGGTGGAGGTAATGTTGTACCTCGCGGGATCCCTAACCTGTCGTAGGGAGTCGCGAGAGGTATAACACCCGCGCACGGTCGGAGTGGTATTTTGTTACGAGTGACAAAAGACTCCTGCGTGACACGACCGTGAGGTCCGACACAAAAAATCACTTTGCATCTGGGTGTGGGACCGCCGCGCGCGACAGGTGGCGCCTTTGCCGGGAATCTCGCTTCTAGCCGAGATCCTTAGTGAACGAACTCGGGTAAGGCAAGATCCTGGCAGAAGGACAAGCAGAAAAGCTAAAAATCGGCTAAGATTTTAGCAGAAATACGGTAATTTGAGACGAGTAGTTGCTCCAAATAAATCAGTTTGTAAAATAGGGAGTAAATACACATAAGTACAATTGTCCAACTTATACTAAGAGTTAACAAATATGCCACCTAAAGGCCGTGAGACCGGTACTGGTAGAGGAAGAGGCGGCAGACAGGGGAAGGCGCCTGAAAGACTTATAGACTTGACCAGAGAAAGAGAGGAGTGGAAAAAATATGATAAAGGACGAAGGATTGAGGGCAAGGAGGTATCGGGAGGAGAGGCGCATGCATACCCCAGACCCTGATGAAATGGCTTAGTATTCATATAGGTACGCAAAGCATTACTGAGAATCTCCACCACGCTTCGAGCTGCCTAGTTGCCCGCATCATAGCCCTTACCCACTGTCTCAAGAGAGGCAGCTGACCGTTCTTCCCCTGCCTCACCATCAAGGGCCCCACGAAATACCATGAGTACCTGATCCTCCTGTGGTTTCGCAGTCTACGTCTCCTGATAGGAGAATGTGCTTATCACTCTAAATGTTTATATTGTGTCAAATAGAGATTTATGGGCTAATATCTTACTTGTTGTATAAAAAGATTATATAAGGGCCCAAAAGGGTTGGAGAAGGTGGCGGAATAAAAAAGGAAAAACTAGTCAGACCCTAGGGTTGAAAGTGTGCTAGCTAAATGAAAGGATGTGGGCTGGTTTGTGTTGTGTAGTAGGTGGAGTGTATCGACGAAAAGAAGATGGCTTCTGCCCAGGGAACCCATGCAAATGAGGCGTGACCTTATGATGAATCTACCAAGTCGCCATGAGGAGAACGAAGAGATAAAATATTGTTGGGGGATTTCTATAGAGGAACAAACCTTCATCTGGATTGAGTCTGGATGGGTTAGAGGCGAGAATTGTGCGGTAGAAAGGGTTACTTTGTATCTCTCATCAGAAAAATTGTAAGCTACTATAATAAATTTAGTCTTAGGAATTGATCGATCTTTTTCCAGACTGCTATGGATAACAGACTCCACGCTCGAATCTAGAAGAAGAGATGCAAGTCTGAATGGATTTGAAAGAGTCATAGGAACTGTAAGGGTAAGGAGGGCTAGCGAATTTTTTCCGCCAGCAGCATATCTAAGATGAACCCTTCTCATGTTCATCGTAGATGCAGCCTTCGGAGGGAGGACTCGAGTGGAAAGGGCTGCGGAAGCTGCAATGGCGGTGCCTGAGAGAGAATATCACACATCTACCTCTCTGCTGATATACTACATATACCTAGAGATAGGGCATTTGATCGAAGAAAGGGATCCGCAAAACATACTATCACGGGTCGACTCATATGCACGTTAACACGATTGGGCAAATATGCATGTCTACTGGGAGGAACTGAAGCAGGGGATCCTCAATCAAATAGGAAGGGGTGCTTAGGAAAGACAGAGATTGAGAATTATTAAGAAATAGGAAATTGAGCGGGTACTAAGAAAGGAAACGTTCTTTCTTTCGCTGTTGTAACAGGGATACCAGGATGACTCCTTTAATGTGGTTCGCTGATCGGAGCTTTCTGATTAACCTGCCAAAGCCAAAGGAAGGAGGAGTCGAAATGACACTGCCAAAGAGGACAATAGATGTGGAGGAAGAAATAGACTCATGGTGTGGAATACCGCGAGGGCGGGAAGCCTTCCTTTGGGTAGAGACCGGATGAACTTCGAGAGATGGGCGTGCAATAGTTAAAGTGACCCTTTATCTACCAGCCCTTCTATGGAGGACACATGTAATCGACCTCGCGATAGAGGAAAGTCGCCCCATCTCTAAGTATGTTTTGGCAGCCGGAATGACCCTCGATGCATTTTCTAGAAGGATGTACTGGGGAGAAGAGGGAGAGGTTATAAAATAAATCGAAGCGAAGTGGTCCGCCGAATTCCTGTATCCAACAAAGTACATTAAGGCCACACTCCCGAACTTCATAATTGATGAAGCATTTTGGGGAATCGAGAATGTGGAACGAGCAGTACTCGCAACCCAATCGGTTCAAGAGATGGGCTTCGAGTTCGAGGCATCAGAAGTTATTTACCGTCTGTACTTAGAAATAGGACCAAAACTAAAGGGAAGAGATTTTTATAACATATTATGCGTAGTAAACACGTACCTACATATCTACCGTCTGGAGGATCTTTCGACCTACTGGCGAAACCTCTGCCGGGAGGCGTGTATCGAAGAATTTATAGATGATTTCCCTTCTTTATTTGATATGGTTAGAAGCTTCTGGCACAGGGATTGGGTGCATCTGGGAGAAATACTCCGTTAAGAGGAAAGGGGGTATAAGGTTATATAGGATAGAAGATATTGAGAAAGCAAGGAAAAGGAAATGTCAAGACAGTGACAAAAGGTGGTGGATCAAATGGTCGTTTGTGTGTCTTAACAGGGTCTACAGTCTAGCAGGAACCAGGAAAGAAAAGGGGAAAAGATGAGCGATGTCAGTGTCAATGGAGGGCCGCCAATCACCGTGGCGGAAATCGTTAAGTTACTAGAGAAGAGGACAATAAAGAGGTCTAACCTACCAAGAATATACATCTTCCCTTTCAAGGGGGATAGGGTGACTCATTGGTTAGAACTACTCGAGCAGATCTTCAACCAGTTGACCCTAGCCGAGAAGTTTGCCCAGTTGTTCGAGTACGTATGGTGGGAATGCACAACTGACGTAGAAGAGGTAGTGAGAAAGTCCAACAATAATTGGGCTGAGTTTAAAAAGGGCATGCAAAAGAAGTTTAAGCTAGGAGATGGCTTGCTCACGATTGAACAGAGATGACTTCACCACGATCAGGGCATTCGCCAACACATTCGAAAAGACAGCCGAGAGGGTCCCGGGGCTGTTTGAAGAGATGCAGTGCGTCATATTCCTAGGGAAATTCTTTGGGTACGAGGCAATGGAGCTAACCTGGGAAACCATAAACAGGAACATCGCGGCGGGAGACATGGACCAAGTATTCCATCACCAAATCAAGGTCGAACGAAAGAAAAGAAAGGCAGTTAGGACGATCCAAGGAACGGATAGTGTACTTGGAGGAGTGCTAAGCGATATGGCAAACGAGATAAAAGAACTTAGGGAAAGAGTGACACCTGCAAAGGCACTAACAGTGACACAGCCGTCAGGAAAGAGAACGAAGGAAGAAGAAGATGGAGAAGAGGAGGGCGAAGAAGGAGAACCAGAAGGAACGGTCAAACTGACTAAGTGTCAGAGAAAGGCTAAAAATATTGCTATCGGAGGACAAGGCTCGGGAAAAGGACAGGTGACTCAACAAGCGATAGTCCAGTATGGGCAAGAGTCGTCAACAAGCACGGCTCGGTACGGACAATGGCCCGTGGGCCCGCCTATGGGAGCATGGCCCGGGTATTTTCCGATAGGGTCGTGACCCACGCAGGGGCCATATCCTATGTTACCCCAAAATCAGAATATAGGAGAGGATCAAAGCACGGGACAGATTCAACAAGCAGGGCAGAACCAACCAGGGTCAAGTCGCCAGGGTGGCCAAAACCAGAACAGGTTCCAAGGACAAGGACAAGGACAAGAACGTAGAAGAGGTAGGAACGCTGGAAGAAATCAAGGACCAGGGGAACGAGGAGCAAGAAATAGAGGAAGTGGGTATCAAGGTGGAAATTGGGGACAACTCCAAGGGGGTGCGAATCCGGTAGGGCAAGAATACCAACAGGGGTATGATCGTGGTTACGACCAAGGCTATGGAAGGGGGTTTGGTAGAGAAAATGGGCATTGGAACGGACAAGGTTATGGCAGAGGATGGATAGATTACAGCGAATGCACTTGTACCCACTGTAGGATCAAAGGACACACGGTAAAACGATGTCACGTCAGGAAGCTTGACGAACGCGATGGACTCATAACATCAAACATAGATGACGAGGTATTTGACAGAACAGGAAGGGCGATCGATCCTGAGATTCCAGGAGGCACTAGAGAAGAGGCCCTTCGCGTAGCCGCGCTAGGTCCCAACGCCCCGGGAATGTTCAGAATGTGGCAAGAAAAGGAAGGACCAGTCGTACGAGTGGAAGATGTAACTGAATCAGAAGAAAAACTGAGCAGAATGGGGATCGAAGGAAGCAAGGAAGACGTACCCCTTGTGGAAGAAGAAGCAGAAAAGGATGACGTTAGGATTAACATCAGGGATACATTTGATAGGATGAAGGATCTAGTGGATAAAATACAAAGACTACATTTGAGGCTTCAAGGGATATGTGAAGAAGCGGGGAAAGAAGGGGTTGGATGCCCGAAAGTGCTTACCATGGGATGTGGAGAATCGGGAGATGGGCCGAATGAGCCCAACCCAATAATGTTGAGGGCCAATATGGCCGCAAGGAACAGCGGGGGTCAAAGAAGCGTAAGAGGAACGATTCCATTCGCTACAAGGAGACCCGCGAGAGGGAATCCTCCAAAGGAGCAAGCTCAGACTTCCCAGCCAGCAGAGGAAGAACCTACTATCATGGTAGAGGGTGACGAAGACGAGGATGAGAAAAATAGGGAGGAAGAAGAAAGGCAGGCGGAAATCATGGCTAAGAGAAGGAAAGGTGAAGTTAAGGAAGGAAGGTCCAAAAAGGATCAAGCGCCAAGCAAGAAGAGGAAATACCAAACTTCGATCGAAGAAGGAGTGAACCTGGAAAGTCTGGTGAATAAATTGTTAGAAGGACACAATGAACTATTAAACCTGAAAGAGATTCTCGCTTCAGCTCCTTAGCTAAGGGAAATGGTGAAAGCAAGGTTATCACGCCGAAGATTTGCCTCGGTCTGAATGGGGGACCTAATTCCCAAAGAAACAAACAGAAGCATGGCAGGGAGCAAAATGGACTGGAAGTTTGTGGGAACAGGGTCCATTGATGTTATGATAAAAGGGAAGATGTGTCCTGGGATGGTTGATACCGGACTTGGAGGGTATAACTATATATTTGACGTGAGAGACAACCTTACTGGGTTCGTTGATGGCAGAGCGATCAGGAACAAGAGCGGGACAACGCTGATAGATTGTATTAAAGAGTATTATCTCAGATATCCGTTCGTATTGGAATTCATGATGGACAGGGGGTCTGAGTTCACATGTGGGGAAGTGAAGGAGTTGTTGAAGGAATTGGGGGTCATAGGTAACTATACGACTCGGACTCATCCACAAGCTAATGCACCGGTCGAGAGAGGCCATAGTACGATTACTAACTTACTGGCCAAATGGACCAATGGGAAGCCAAACCTCTGGCCAAAGTTCCTAAGAACAGTGTTCTTTGTGGAGAATATCACCGTAAGAAGAACGATTGGGCATGCGCCGGCAACGCTCTGGTATGGTCGCGACGCCACATTTCCGATTGAAAGCTTCCTTAAAACTTGGCGCAGGCAGGACCTGAAAAACAACTTGACTTTGGATGAACTGCTAGATCTGAGGGCTAGGCAGATCAGCGCCACTGAAGAAAGGGTGCAGGAAGCGGCCATGAACGTTGCAGACAGCAGGGGAAAGGATAAGGAAAGGTGGGACAAGCTACCTAGAGTGAGACTCGGACCTCTACAAGTTGGAGAGACAGTGCTACTCTACGATTCCTCTCTGGAAATGCAGTGGTCGCGGAAATTGGACAAACGTTGGCTTGGACCATTCAAAGTCAGGAAGCAGGGACTTCATGGGGCCTACGAGCTAGAAGAGATGGATGGGACTCCAAGGAAGGACTGGGTTTCAGGGTCCAGACTAAAGAAGTTCCAAATCAGAGGAGAGGTGAGTCTAACTATGATGCAGAAAGTCTGAGTAGACGGGGAAGTGATTATGCATATGTGTGTGAATCAGTACCTATGCATATATGTACCCAAGTGCCTAAGTAATACTCATATATGTGTGAATACATATATATATATATATATATATATATATGTGTGTGTGTATATGTATACGTGCATGAATGAGAAGGGTATAGTGGGAATGTACACGTATATGCATACGCAAGTATATGTATATATATGTATATATATACCACATATATATATATATATATGTATATACGTGCATGCATGTGAGTACCAGATAAAGGGAGCATTGTCAAGCTTAGGTTTAAGGAGAGGTGTTGCCTTGATGATGATCTGATCCTTGTACCTGTCTTTTGCTCCTTCTCTGTGTGCAGGCGTGACCCTTGGGGAGAAGAGTTCATGGCGCAGAGAGAAGGGAGGGCAGGACCCCCTGGACCCACCTTGAGAAGGAGCGGGCAGAGGAGGGATCAGACAGTCTCAAGGAACCTGGAGGGAGTTGCCCATTTACAGGGCTGGGGACAACTTGCGAGCATTCTTAAGAGATCTTCAGGAATATGCATTCAGGAGAGAATGTGGCGACAAGGAGAAACTCGCGAATGTGACTGGAGCGGGAATGTACAAGAAAAGGATTGAAGGAGTGGTGGCAGGATGCACGAGATGGAGAGCGTGCAAGGTGAGATTGTGGAAGGACATGGGGGTCTTTCCAAGGGACGATGTTGAGAATGACCTAAGATTTGATGGGACCAATCTGGAAGATTTTATCGACAGTTTGCAGCTGGCAACTGAGAGAGGGGAATGGAGTGAAGAAGAGAAGAAGCAACAATTGATTGCGAGAACAGAAAAGAGTGAGAAGGAGGAAGTAAAGGGGATAGTGGAAGGGAGTCGAACCAGGCATATAATAACTGCAGAATTGGGGATAGCGTACACCCAGGCAAGACAGGATCAGACAAGGAAGGAAAGATTGCAGGAAAGGGGGTTGCGGATTGGAAGAGAGATGGGTGAGCTGCATGGGAAGGAGGCAGAGGATGAAGAGGAAGATGATGTGCCTCTGAAAAGATTGAAGAACAAGGCGAGGGTCGTCCCCAAGAGCAGCAACAAGGGATCTGGTCAGGCAAAAGGGAATGAACAAGAAGAGGAGGAGGAAGCAGAAAGAAGGAAAATAAGCATGGGGGCAAGTGCGGTGCCAAGGGAGAGAAGGACTGGAGAGAAAAAACCAGTTGAGATTGGAAGGAAAGAGGTACAGGAGAAGGGGAGTGAGAAGGAAGGAGGAGCAAAGGAGACAGGAGAAGGGAAAAAGATCCAGGAAGGAGGTCGGGTTCCAAGAGTTGAGAGGACTAATGGAAAGGGGCCGATTGGAGACAAAGAGGGGAAGGAAGGAGAGAAGGGTGAGAAGGAAGGGAAGTTAAGAAGGGCCAAGGAAGTGAAAGCTGAAATAGGAAAGAGAAGATCAGAGGGTGGAGAGTTATCCCAGTTGAGAAAAGAGGTGGAGGAAGGGCAGGTAAGTAAGGAGGAAAAGGCTCAAAAGGACAGGAAGAAGAAAGGATGGAGGGATTATATGATCAGGATGCCGCAGTATGACGACCTACCTGTGAACTCCACATGGGATGTCAGATTTGAGAGGATGCTCCTCTCAGAGCTGGTGGTAAGTTCAAAGCACTCAGAAAACTTGCAGAACATGATCCCGAAGACCTATTTTTCACATGGGGTCTCTTTTGACTCCATTTTCTTGAGGGATGCTGATCCGAGATTTTTCGGATTGCTCCCATGCCTCCCTCTTCAAGTTTCTTTACTTTTTCTTTTCTTTTTGACATTCCCGTTTGCTACCGCTGGTGCTTGCACTAGCGATGCTAATATTTTTTACCGTCAAGATCTGGATCTTGACGGTGCACCTTGTTTTTATTATTTTCCCCACATGTGGTGCCGCCGTTTTCTTCTTGAGACCTTCGAGCGTCCCGCTACTTGTCCCGTCGATGGTCCCCGACACTTGGTCCCGCCGGTGGCCCCCGACACTTTGTCCCGCCGATGGTCCCCGACACTTAGTCCCGCCGGTGGTCCCCGACACTTAGTCCCGCCTGTAGTCCACGACATATTTTATCCCGAATACCATTATTTTTACTTAGTTCCACGCGGCCCTTGGTGCCTTTCCCAAAGGTGTCCCACGTCCTTTGGGCGTCTACCATCCCCACAGCGACCCCTCTCCCTTATCTTGCTCGGGCCTTACGCGTGCCGGTTTTTTCGGTCGCGAGGCCGAGGTCCTTGCTAACTGTCGAGGGTCGCCTCCACGTTGGACCCTTAATTTCTAGCGTCCCACGACCAATAGGGCCGTCCACCTCTCGGCCGCCCTATTCTCTCGTCGTCGACCACGCCGCATTTTTTAAGTTAACGGCCCCTTGGCCTTAGTCATGCCGAATTTCAGTGGCCCTCTTGGCCTCACGCTATGCCCCTACGTACCCATGTCCTTGCGCTTACTTGCTTGCCGTCGCTGGTTCTTTCCCCGATGGTTCTCAACCCAGGGCATCATTCCTTCCGATGGCCTAGTCCCTTGTCTTTTCTCTCTTACCTCCTTACTCCTGATTTTTTTGTCGTGCACATTCTGGCTATATGCAGTCTCTTGAGTGGCGGAATGTTATTCGGGAGTCACCGGTCCCGACACATTTCCCCCACTCATTCTCGTTGTCCTCATTGCGCACCAGTCTTCTGTCAGCGGGGATTTGGGGGGATAGATGAGAGAGGAGGAGGGAATGTCATTAGGTGGTTTGTTTGCCAAGGTCCGTTTTGTCTTTTCTTGTTTCTTTCTCGGGTTTCTTCTAGTCTCCGGTCCTTGGAGCGGGGAAAGGTGTGTAGGATTCAAACTTTCTTTGTCCTTCAGGCTTCCCATGTCTCATTCATCACTCTTAAAACATCAGATCCATTTCGTCTCTTTCATCACCCTCAGAGCATCAAGCCTCCTTTCGTCTCATTTATCACCCGTAGTACATCAAGCCTCCTTTCGTCTCATTCATCATTCTCAGAGCATCAAATTCTCCTTTCAACTTCCTTCTTCTCGCTGCCCCTGCTTCTCCCTCGAGCCCTGCCATCCCAAGCGCCCTTTGGCTGATCCTCCTTCCATCCTGTGTCAACCAGGTCCCTTTTCCGGCTTTCGTCACCCTTAGTGTCTCTTTAAATTGGTTATTCGACCCGTGTTATCCACGTCTCCTGCCGTCCTTTTCACGCCATTCTTTTCTGGTCATTTTGTCGGGCCTTTCTCATATCCTAGCCCTATCCCCTATACATTTTTTCCCTGTCGGCCTTCCTCAGTGCTCATGCTCAACCCTTTATGCATTTCTCCTCCTTGCCAGGTTTTTTTCTCAAGCTTGAGCTCGGTCAATCTCACATGCATCCTTTCCTTATCAATTCGTTTTCAAGTTCATGCTCAATCAATCTTTCATGCCTTTCCCTTCCGGGCATCTTGTCAAACATTTCTCAAGCTCAAACAAAACCGATTACACGTGCCTTCCTTTTCTGGACATTTTGCCAGGTTTTTCTCAAGCCCACACAAAGTCAATTACACATGTTTCTCTCTTCTGGACATATTGCCAGACCTTCCTCAAACCTACGCGATGCCAATTACGCATGTCTTTCTCTTCTGGACATCTTGCCAAACCTTTCTCAAGCCCACGCAAAGTCAATTACACGAACATTTCTCTTCTGGACATCTTGCCAGGCCTTTCTCAAGCCCACGCAAAATCAATTACACATGTCTTTCTCTTATGGATATTTTGCCAGACCTGTCTCAAGCCCACGCAAAGTCAATTACACATGCATTTATCTTTTGGACATTTTGTCAGGCCTTTCTCAAGCCCACGCGAAGTCAATTACACATGTCTTTCTCTTTAGGACATCTTGCCAGACCTTTCTCAAGCCTACGCGAAGTCAATTACACAAGCCTTTCTCTTCTTGACATCTTGCCAGACCTTTCTCAAGCCCACGCAAAGTCAATTACACATACATTTCTTGAGCTCATAACAACCTTATATTTTTTTTGCACATTTTTTATCGGTAGATGGCACGCCTTCCCCCCACTCAAAATGCGATGTCCCCATCACACGACTGGTTCTCACTTGGAGGTACGCAAACCTTGCCCTGCCAACTAAGTAGACGGATGTCGGTCCATCATCCTCTACTCTACTCCGGCGGCCACTTCTCTGGAGATGGGCATCATCATTGAGGTGTCTCATCGCATCCGTAAGGCGGATCCAGTCCACGCCTCCCAGAACCCCATCATACCACAAATGACCCCCTCGCGAATCGTTCCTCCCAAGTGGTATTTTCTTGGATCCGACCTCTTCCTTTCAAGAGAGTTGGGGCTCTCTATTAGTCTGCGAGTGCAGTTACGAAGACCTCGCGGTTAGTCCCGGAACGGTTGTAATGATTCGGCAGGGCGGTATCACTCGCCCTGTGGTGGATGCAGATTCCACCTGGTACTCCGCCCGACTCCTCCCTTTGGACAGTGCCGCTCAACTTAATGCGAGCAACCTTGGCCCATCCCAAACGGTCACGCCGCCCTTCTACGGTATGGTGTGTGGTTGGGGAGAGAAAATGAGACTTAGGAAAAGAATGGCTCTCATACCCCTTTGGCTCCACGCCCTTGACGTTTAGGTTCTCAATATAAGGCAGTTTGAACTCGCTGACTAGAGTTCGTTGTCGGAGGTAGTTCCGGATGGCGAGCACCGATCAAAGAGAAAGATGCCTTGGTCCGTCAACCCTTATCCTTCCTTGTGAGGAATAGGTCGCGCTGAGACTTTTCCCTTGATGGGTAGAGGTCATGGGGTCGCAGTGCGTGCATCGCTACCCCCCTCATGTTAAGACCTTAGACTAGAAAGGAAAGAAAATTCAATCTTTTGCAATTTTCATGATCAGTCCGACGACCTTTCCTCAAATCGCCTAGGGTCCCTTGATGATGCAATGCAATATTCAGTTATCAGGAAAACGCTCTATCCAATGTTTTTTCCAGTTTTTTATCAAGGTAGACTCTCATGGCTGGTCCGACAGCCTCTCTTCAACAAGGCTACCCCTTGTGACCAATCCGGCGGTCGCTTTTTTCAATAGCCATCTTCCAATGCCGACCCGTCGGCCCACCTTCAATCCTCAACTCTCTCATTCCCCAATATTCATTCTTTATGATCGTCCCAACGGTTTACGTCCTTCTCAAATTAAGGTTCGGCCTCCTTTATCCTGCCCTTCTCCTTTCAAGACATCATTCTCTTTCATCCATCTTCATGGTTATTTCAATGACCGATCCATCGGCCTTTTCTATTTCCCATTGCTCATTCCAGGTCATTCTCAATCAACCTTTCTCAATCAGTCATGCAGGGGACCCCAATGCATATTTCAAAAGAAATAACCCTTGTTAGGGGCTATTTCCGAACAACCTGGTTAGGGTCATTCTTTTCCATTCTCAAATTGAACAGTCTGGTTAGGGTCGTTCCTTTCCATGCTCAAGTCGAACATTCTGGTTAGGGCCATTCTTTTTCATTCTCAAGTCCAACAGTCTGATTAGGGTCATTCATTTCCATTCCAGTTGAGCGGCCTTGTCAGGATCGTCCTTATCCATTTCAATGTTAGCGTCCGAGGGGGTGGGCCTCGAGGACACGGATCCCATCTTTGACTCGGGGGTTAGAAGGTGGCCATCTCTTTTCAGTTTCCTTCGTGATGTTTCCTTCATCCTTTCTTAATGCAATTTACTATCCATACATATATCCGACTTAGCGTCTAGTGTCCGAGTTGCGGCTCGCAACCCCAAGCAACACTAGCCCACCCGACCGTTCAACCATAGGAAAGGACAGAGACACCCCCTCTATTTTCACTCTATCTGGTCTCTCAGCTCTTGGCTATTTTCAGACTCATTTATGACTGAGCTGGATTAGGCTCCTAGGGAAGGGGTGTTCTTCATGCCCCTTTACCCATAGGTTCCCTAACCTCTCTTGTATTAGACCAACATTCAATGCCTCGCTTTGCTCGTCAATCTGCACTCACGGTCTCTTCTCAAAAGCACAATCTTTATTCCATCCAAAGTTCACAGTACACCCTTCCCAACCAGTCTCATCCCATGCCCCGTGTCATTGTCTTGCATATACTCTTTCAGAGGTGGCTCATCCAGAAAGTAGCTTCAAAATGTTATCTTCTAAATCATCGGGGAATAGTCTTAGCGAGTCGTTTCATCGCTCATTTCTAGCACGCTTACTCATACTATACAAATTTTGTCGTTCTAATGTTTGCAAAAGAAAAACAGAATTCTTGTTCAATGCTGATAACATCTAATCCTTATTGTTGTCACGTGTCTTATCTCGCTCGGTCCCTTGCCCATCCTGTCTTTCTGCTGACTTTTTAACTCTCAGGCCGAATACAAGGATTTTTTCCTTTCTCTTCGCAATTCCCCGCAATTCTATCTCGCTGAAAAAGTCCAAAGGCGTGGCCGTCACTCCTGCCTCCGTGAATTTCCTGGCCTTGATAATCCAGTCATACTTGATCACACTGAGTCATTTGCTCAAACCACTGACTGGGCGTCGGTCCAAACTCATCTTCCCATCTGAAGGTTCCTTTGCGTGGCTGGCTCTCAGGGGGTCGCCTTTCTTCTCGGGGCTTTGAGATCTCATCCCTCTCATCGTCACTGCTAATCTCGATGATTTCGTGTACCTCTTCCTCTTCGTCCTCATCCTCTGTTGTTCGTATGGGGCTGAACTCACCCGTGAAGTTCTTTGGATCTTAGATTGTAGGGAATCTCCGTCCTTCTTCCGTATCCTTCCTCAAAGTCCGGGTATTTCCCCTCACAACTGTCGCGGCCATTCCGCTTTTCATGCGGACTTTCCCTTCTCTCTCCCTCATCTTCTCGTCCGTTGCTCATGTCCTGCCTCC